GCCAGAGTGAGCGAGGCGGGAGCATCCTGGGAGCAGCTCTCAGGTCTGAACCGTCTGAACCAGCGCGGCAGCTGACGGGACGTCCATCGCTCAGGACCAGGAAGAACAAAGAGTCCCAGGCCGAAAATCAACTCCGGATGTGGAAGGATTATGGAAACTGTTCTCTATTCCATGTGTTCTCTATTAATTTTTTTCCCCCCCTCCGTAAGAGCAAGTTTTCTTTTCGTCCAATCGCTTGATTGTTTCTTGCCCCTGGGCGAAGCTTCTCTGTCGTCAGTGTTGCTCTGGGAAAGAACCGCGGGTCTTGTTGCGCTTGTGGCGTCTGTGCCGCACACTTGTGCTGCACCTCTCTCGCCTGCGGGGAGTTTTTCCTCCAGGAGTCAGGCAGAGCCTTGGCAGGTGAGTGTGGTGTTGCCATTGGTGGGAGGGGGGCGGGTGTATCATATTTCAAGGGCATTGTAACGAGAAAGGCCGTAATGAGTAATGGTGTAGCATGACTTGTAAGCTTGAGGCAGGAAACCTGAACTGAGAGGGTGAGGAGGGAGGGTGCCCTTTTGTTTTAAATTGTGATAACTGTAGTGCGAGTTGTACAGGGAGAAAGTGCACCCTGGAGTAGAGGATTCTGGGATCGATTCAAATAATTGAAAGATTATTGAAGCCCTAATGTAGCAGATCCCAATAAGGGCATTGTTATTTTTACGTTGGAATCGCAGATTATTTTTCTTCAATGTCAGCCCCCTCAGGTGTTTCGAGCCTGGGCTGTCTGGCAACTGCTCCTGTACCTGTTCCTGGGAGAGAGTTGGACCAATGCCCTGTCAGCAGAGCCTCTCTTCATCTGTAGCCGTACAAAGGAAGAGTCTGCTGTGCTTCTTGTTGGCATCACTGCAAGCAAGCCTATAAGGGTACTCTGAATGGGAGGCTAAACTGGTGATCAGAAAGCCAAGAGTGCCAACTAACCCTGGCCCCACCAGGACAGTCCGGGCCGTCGTGTCATGTGGCTCGGGCTCGAAGTAGCAATGTCTGGCCTGTTGAGCTCAGCCGACGCTTGCAGACGCATGCGGGAGCCTCACAAACTGAAGCTGAGTGCTAACAGTATTGCCTCTTGCCTACACAGCGCACAGATCCCATGTTGTCAAGCTGTGAAACTGCTGAATCCAGCACAGCAAGCGCATCGTGTTGACAGAACAGTAGCTTGAAACGCCCAACCAGCTAATTACAGACCTGGCTTCTTGCTGCAAGTTGTTTTTCTCTCATCTGCTTAGAAAACAAGCTGATTAACATGAGACCTACACTAGTCTACACTGCTAAAAAAACATTCCATTTTAGCATTGTTGCACTCTTCCTTTTCAGTGCCATTCGTGTTGTAGGCAGTGCTTAGTGTTTCTCTGTGCAGGCTGGAAATACTGGAACCTTAAGGAGCACTATGCTGATTTTCGAAGTGCAGCGGGATGTGGCTTTTTACATTATTCGTTTTCTATTTTTACATCGGGATTATTTTGTCTGTGGGTGGACGAATTCTCCAGACTGAATGGAAACTTGGAAAGGCTTGAGGGGTCGTTAAAAGTTTTTCCAATAACGAGGTTAACTGTTGAGTGTTGTTACAGGCAAGACAACTGAATCCAGCTGTCCTTCAGCACTCCGCCCATCTTGTTGTTTTTCATGCTCGCATCTGTTCAGCTTCGCAGACGGTTCCTTAATTGAATTGGGCTTGTAGACGTGGGGAATGTTTGTGTGCTTCAAGGTTAAGATTTTCCTTGAAATGAAACTCACTTGATTTCACGAAAGGATTCTCTGTACAGGGCTTCCCAGTCCTGCTTCTCATAGCCTACTGGTTTTCGTTGGTACTGGATGCTCTGTTTTCTGCTCCTGAAATTTTTGTGGGTTGCTTATTATCTATGGATTTGGATGGGCAGATGTGAAATCGGATGGGTCAAAACTGATGTCAGAATGGTCCGATTAGCAAATTCCTTGTCACGTTTTCAGGTTTGGTTTGCTAAAGCAGTTGGAACAAAAAGCCAGCGGACCCTAGGATGTGCTTTCAAGAGATGGATGACAGAGCAGAGCAAAAGACTTGAAACCATTTCTGATTTCCCCAGGTCACCATGTGCTTTGGGCTTGGGAATGGTAATGGGGGGCAGGCAATGGGACAGTGCCCTCTGGCTGCAGGCTCGTGCCAGATCCTGAGGTTGGCACCAGCCAGTGGTTCAGGAACAAGCTTGAGGAGCAATCTGAATGCTGCAGACCATAATTACGCAGCCTTGCATGAGGTCATGGTGTAGCACTGAGACTAGAGGAGGAGATCCCGCCAGGCATGCTGCTGCAAGCTGGTGACGGTCCAGACATGGGTAGAGCCACATCCTGCTGCTGAAGCAGAGCCTTCTCTGGCAGCAGCTCTTCGGATCTTGACAAGTTTGCTGACTCGGGCCTGAAATGCATCATTCTGTGACTAGTCACAGTTTCGTCAACACTTTTTTTGCGTTCAAAATGAGCAAAACCTCCACTCCTCAGGTTCCTGGGCGGCGTGGCCTGACCTGTAGCCTGCGTTGAGGGTAACTCGTACAGCGTGTGGAACCTGAGGTTTTCGGTGACGACACATCCTCCCCTGTCAGCGACTCGGCTGGCTGGAAGCACAGTTTCTTGTTTTTTTTTAGGTGACTCCCATCAGCGAGACGCTCGGCCGAGCCCTGAGGGCTGCAGTTCAAAATTGCCTCGTTCGTTTCAAGGGGGGGAGGAAATGGGCTGCAAGTGAACGTGCAGTAGTGTGCAGACTATTTTTTTTTTATCTCCGTGATTACTGTCAAGCCAAGAGTGCTGGGTGTTAGCGCTGGTGGACTAAGACACACAAGCAGCTGTACTGGGACTGACGCTACTTCTGTTTGTCAGCATTTATAAGTGCCTGTAAACAGGGCTCCCTGAATAATAATAATAATAATAACTGCTTACACTTATATAGCACTTTTCTGGACACTCCACTCAAAGTGCTTTACAGGTAATGATGTTCCCCTCCACCACCACCAATGTGCAGCCCCACCTGGATGATGCGACGGCAGCCATAGTGCACCAGTACACTCCCCACACACCAGCTAATAATCTAGTCAAGTACTGAAGAGAAAGGAGAAAGCTTTCAGAAACCTTAAGTTCATTTTAGAGGAAGCAACAACACAAGTTTTATGTGTGTGGCGTAAAAGCAGATTTTGAGTTTCTTCGCCTAAAGCTGTAAATGACCCTTTAGAATCAGAAGCAGCTAGAAAATGAGAAAAATGCCAGACGAGAGCAACCTGATCCCTTTATGACGTAAAAACCAGAACAGGAGATCAAGAAGCGCCGTTGAAGATTGTTAGAAAGGTTGAATCTTCAGAGGGTTGGTTTTACGTGTCAATTTCAACTTGTGAAGTCGGGACTGGAAATCATATGGAAGGCGCAGGGGCTCCCTGGGGTCTGCTTGGGAATCCGGAGCACGCTGATGAGAATTCCTGTTGTTCCACACATGTGGTTAGAAGAGAAAGAAGAGTCCTGAAAAACATGCTTGGTGGGACGAACCCGCCTTTCAGAAAAATTGCTTCGAGTGCAAACCTCTGCAGTTAGTGTGAAGGACGACGGGTTATTTAATATATAATGGAGTACAGCATGGCTGTAATTCATTCTGCAAGATATTTAAGCATCTCTGGCAGTGTGGAAAGCCTATGTTCCTTTAGCTTTTAATCTGAAAGGACGCAACTCCTTGCCAGCGTCGCTGCGATAAAGACTGTTTCAATAAGGCGGAAGAGCCCAGCCAGGTGTCATTGCCCAGATCACTGTGACAGTGTATTGCACTGCTTTAGAGCTCCTCAGGGCTCTTGTCAACAGTAGGTCTACAGATGATGGAGATGTCAGTGCAGAATAAGGCAAACGTGAGTTGAGAGTTGAGTACCTCCATTCTCAGCCCCACTTTATCCTGATCAACATTCCCAGATTCTCCGGCTTGGCTTAGGCACCAGTCTTGCACTTGTCTCTTTCCCTTACCCATTTACAGTGATTTGGACCTTATGGTTCTGTTCTGTTTTCCTTGTGAGAGTCCTGTGTGCACCTCGCTGTGTGGGGCAGGCCATGAACACTGCCCTCTGGTGGTGTGTTCTACCTGCATACATTAAAATGCGTCTTAAGAAAGACACATGCTGGGGTTTGTGACTGATATTAAGTTGCAGTTATTAGGCCACTTCAATGTGTATTTTATTTTCGTGGGTCACACCTGGTTAGTTGTAGTTCTGCTATTAAATACTTGCTTTTCTTGCAGGCGCATTGAGCAGATCTACCATGCTTCTGGGTTTCTTTTTATTTCCGTTCTAATGAATTCAGTGCATTAACAACCATTTGAACGTAGTCACCTGGAAACCATGTTTGACATGGAAAAGATTGTTTACTTGCAATCTGGCAGGGAATTGAACAAACAGAATGATTGTGAGGGGGTGGCTCTGAGGTGCCGATGGAGAGCAGGCTGTTCTGTCTCTCCCTGTGACTGCAGATGCTCAAGAGTCCTGGTACTCTAATGCCATTTGCCTAGAGCGAGCTGACAATGCATCACATAATCAGTTTTCTTGGTGATATCAATATTGTAGTTGAAAGTTATAATAAAGTTGTCACACATGTTGCAGCCCATCTTTAAAATTGTATCCTTTTTATGTTGGTTTCTTCCACCTCTGTCTTGGATTACTATAGATCTCCCTTTACTTTGAATATTCCAGTTACTGCTGCTGTCTAGACCTTTTGAAATTTGCATTTTCGTGCAATGCTGAAAGATTTACTAGTATTTTGCAACTCTGTGCTGTGAATTGTATTGTCTGTAGTTAGTTGGCTCACAAACATAGATCTGTTTTATTGATACTTACCGTCTGCTGTCTTTCCTTTTAAAGAATGAAACGATAGAATACCAGTTTGTCTGCCATGCTTGTCAGATCTGAAACTAGAAGACTTGGTCGGCTGTACGTCTCATCCATACGGTTTCTCGTGCTTTTGTTTTTCAGGGTTGATCGAGAGGATTTTGGGGTGTCAAGACCAATGGTGGGGAGACTGCAATGGCTGTGACCTGGAGATATCTGGAAATCCTCGTACCGTAACGTCTCCGCATAGCCCGCCTCCAGTGAGCAGAAGGGACTCGAGCTTATTTCGGACTTGCCTAGGGAATCTCCCATCCCGAATCCTCCTCCCCTCGTTTCTCGGGAGCCGCGTCAGAATGCCGATCCTCAAGCAGCTGGTTTCCAACTCGTCCCAGTCCAAGCGCCGCTCGCGGGCCGACCTCACGGTGGAGATGATCAGCGCCCCCCTGGGGGACTTCCGCCACACCATGCACGTGGGCCGGGGCGGGGACGCCTTCGGGGACACGTCCTTCCTCAGCACCCGCTCCGGGGAGCCCCCCCGCGAGGGGGACAGCCCGGCGCACTCCCCGAGCCCCAAGCCGGGGCTCTTCTCCCGCACGTTCCGCCACAGCCGGCGGTCCCAGTCCGTCACGCGGGCCGACAAGCGGGAGTCCACTCTGGCGCCGCCCAGGGGCTCCCCCACCTTCGTGAAGAACGCGGTGTCCCTGCCGCACCTCAACGACGAGGACGGGGAGAGAAGGGCTGGCCGCGTCCCCAAGAGCCTCTCCTCCAGCCCCCTGAAGAAAGCGCCGGACTCCGAGAAGCCCGCCAACGGTGCCGCCGCCGCCGCCGCCGCCCCCTCTGGCATCAACAGGCCCTACGACCCCGAGCTGGACGAGAAAAACTTCGGCGAGCTGACGGACCTCCCCCCGTCGTCGCCCCCTAGAGTCGGGGGGGGGCTGAAACACGCCGAGTCCGTCATGTCCTTCCACATCGACCTGGGCCCCTCCATGCTGGGAGACATCCTGAGCGTCATGGATAAAAGCGCCTGGGAGGAGGACGATCTGGGGTTCGAGGAGGGGAGAAGCAGCGAAGGCAGGGGCTCGCCACCTCTTCTGGGCCAGGGGGAGGTGGAGTCCCGACCCCCCAGGGCGTCAGACAGCCAGGCTCACCGCGCTGGCCCCCTGACCCCAGAGCCTCAGCCCCGGCGCCAGCACCCGGACACCTCGTCCGTCTCCAGTGCGGGATCGGCGGCCCTGGAGGGGAGCCCAGGGCAGGGGGACGCGGAGAGCGTCCAGTCCGGCTCGCCGCAGGGGGAGGACGAGAAGGACTTCTCCTTCATGGACGAGGACGACGACGAAATTCGAGTATAAAGAGGAGAGACAAGTACGATCGCAGTCGAATCCATAATGGCATCTAGGACCTGGGCTTTTAGAGAAGGCACTAGCTGGGGGGTTTGGCTCTACCAGTCAACAGGAAGCTGCAGTTCAGTCCATCATAAGCAAAAGGGAAAATAAATGAATATTTGAGTCGGAATCACAGTATAAAACCTCGTCCTGTATCGCTGTGACTGTTCCTGCACTCTGCAGATGCCCTTGCTTCTGAACCAGCAGGAGACTGCGTGGACTATTATGCTGAAATCCTGAAGTGGTCCAGCAAGGACCAGGAATTAAGAAAACGACCTCTGAATTCTTGAAACATTGTCATGACTGTTTTAACCTGTTCGTTTTTCTGAAATGACAGCCAAGTTTTTACACGCACTCAGCCATGTGCCGTTGTGCAGTTGTATGCTGTAGAAGAGAACACTATTCCACCACTGCTGCTGCTCGCACACTGCTGTCAGAACCAGAACCCTCACGCTTTCTGGGCCATGCTCCTCCTGATGACGTTTCTAAACATTTACCTGCACGCTGTCCTTTACCCGCTCCAGCGCTTTGTGAACAAACGGCATCAAGTAATGTGAGGTTATCGCTGCAGTTCAGTTTTCGAGCGGCGCTGCATTTAGAGATTACATTATCCAGTGCAACGGAAGAAAGGCGGTTCCTTATCGTGATCGAATGCAGGTGGCGCCAAATGCTTTCAAACAGGAAGCGGGATTTCTTTGCTTAACCACAAGGGGATATACTGACAGCTGTTCTTAAAACAGTACAGTCAGTATTGGGGCCCCTAAACATTGAGCAGAATGGCTGAGGCTGTGCTATTGAAGTGGACATGGGCGACCGCAGTGTAGGAGTATCAGCAGCAATGATAAGCTTTCCAGTCGTCACAGCAGAGTCGGATCACAGACGAGGCAAGGCCACTGCAATCTTCTAGCTCTTTGCCTAAAGAACACCAGCCCCCCCCAAGGAAGCCGATTGGAATGAGCCTGAGGGTCAAGCCTACATGGACTGAACTGTGTTTTCCTGCAGTCTGGAAGAGCTGGGAGAGGAAAGGGGAGGGGAGGGACAGTGCATTCATCCCCTGGCTGTGGTTTCTGGGAGGCAGCCGCAGTTGAAGAATGTTGTCAGTGGGAAGTCAGGGCCAGAAAGCCTTCTCAGCTCTCTAAAATGCAGGTTTATTAAGTGATTCATGGTAGCTATTTTATTATAATAAAATCTCTCTTGAGATTAATACAGTAATGGGGTGGTTTTCTTTATAATATTGTTTTTATTTTCATTGTTGTACCCTTTTTATAAACATAGGACCTATAAAAGTATTAATCTAGGGCGAACTTTGGTTTATTTCTTTTATCGTCTACCCGCTTCCTCCAGACACCTGACGGGAAGGGTAGAGCTCCGCTGCTGGCGTGCAATTTCCTGTGTGCAAAGGAAGAGAGGTCCAGTGTGCAGTGCATTATGGGAATGGCAGTCCATGGAAGAGAGCATTTCAGTATCGGGCATGAGACACTGGCTACGAACGGAGATAAAAAGACACCCCAAACCTGGGATTGCTAAAAAAAAAATGGATTGTTCTGGAAGTCTTTTGAGAGTTACCCCCACCCTGCTTTAAAATTCACAGTGCATTCTGGGAGTGGAGGCTATTTTTTTAGGTTGTATTTTTTTCCCTCAAAGGTACTCAAGCAATTGCCTCTCGCCTCATTTTCCATATAGCTGGCTTTTGGGTTGGAGAGGCCAGTGGGGACAAAGATTTTTAGGCAGTAGTTTGGTCTATAAGTAAAAAAGCAATAGTTAAATGATGCAGGCCCTTCACAATGGACTCACGCCTGGCCTCCCTCTGCGAACTGTGATGGAACGTACTGTTTCTTTACCTAAACATCTTCAGTTTGGGAAATGTAAAACACTAACTTTTCTACAGATGTAAAGACTTTAGAAATGTTCATTTAATGTGTATTTTGTATTTCAGCTGCAAAAGTAAGGAAATGCAGAAAAAAAAATCAAACATTGTATTTATCTGAAGTGGCCTTTTCCTGGAATTGTCATGCAAAATAGTGCGGTTTTATCACCTCTGTTTCAGAACAAAGTTGTCCTACAATTCTTTACACACGTTCTTTGCAAATCAGGGTATTGAGCATCTTTGCTGGAGGTTTACAGAAGGAATCTGGTCAGATTAACTCTGGAGGAGGAACAGTCATGTGCTGTGCAGCTTTCTGGGTCATTGTCCTGAGAAAGAAACTTGTCAGCTTTGTTTAAAATCTGTTTCATTGCAGAGAAATTGTTCAGAGATGTGGTCAGAACACTTTGCAGTATCCTCCACAAACTGTTGAATGAAACGGACTTCTTTTTCATTGTGCTGAAATCATCTGTGAGCCTTATGGCAGGCAGCAGTGCCCTGTGTGAGCCCATGTCTGCCCAGCTGTGTAGGCTCCACAGATAGACTGGCCTTGAATTCCCACAGCTGTACACTCGGAACACGTGCCCCACCTTCTCTGTTGGAAAGAGGCGTTTGTGAGCTCTTCAGGCCAAGAGTTTGCATTCAGACATTGTGTTTTAGGATGGATCAGTGACTGATTATCCTTCCCCTTCTTGTAGATTCCTCTAACCTCATCTTCACACAGTCTCAAAAATGTTCATACTCCCGAGAGCTGTATGTGTACCCATACTTAAAACAACAGAGTGGCTCTGCTGTAAAAACATTCCAAGCAGAAAGCAGGTTTTTTTATACATGATTGCTACACGCTACAGTTGTGAGAATACGGGCTTGGGTCTAGTGCAGGCAGTGTTTGACTTGAGAGTCCCCTAGGACTTGCACAGCCCACGTTTGACATTCAGGATTCTGAAGTGGCCATAGGGCTGCCTTGCTGCTCTGATGGGTGCCTGAAGGTGCAAACTAGACTTCTCTGTGGCTGGAAGAATCTCCATCAGAACAGTGCTGTGCAGGTTACATGATTTCAAGGCCAGGATTTACATAGAGGGGCTGCTTGCTCATGGAAGAAACAGGTCATGTCATGTGCTTTTAGACCTCATGGGATAATTATTGGAAAGACAAGACAGCTGGACCCACGTTTCACTAAGATCAAGTCCACGTCTGGCTATTTTAGTAAAACCAGATACTGATTAAGTAGCATGACATTGTGTGTAAGTGTCTGATGTTGTCTGGAAGGTGGAGAAGGAAAGGTGTCAACATTTTGTTTTGAAGAGTTCATTTAAACCTTTTCAGAAAGGACTTTTGTTTTCTATGACTGCTAAGCCCAATAACAAAATTGCCATATTTGTGCTACCGCAGTAAGCTACTTTTAATATTGCGGAATGCCATAATAAATGTTTGACCTATTGTTGGATGAGATTGTTTTATAGCATAAGGTGCCAAAGAAGACCTGTTTTCCATGGGTTTTTTTGTTTTATAATTCGTGTAGAGACAAACTACCTAATCTTCATTTAATGATATAAATCTGTTTAACAATGCTTTGATTCTAAGACCTAGTTCTGGAGTGAATTCCAAAGCCAAATTGATAGTCTTGGAAATTGGCCACAGACTGGGCTGTAATCTCTGTACATTGAACTGAGCGAATGGAGCTACACCTCTTTCTGTTTTCAGGCCGTCATGCTGTACAGAAGGTAGTGGCTGGATATTAAGAAAGCAGAGACCAGATAGAACTGTAGACCTCCCAGACAAGTGCTCGTTTTTGTTTCGCTAAAGAAAATGAATGATCAAGATGTAGAGCTTGCCTCGGTCTAGGGGACAGTTTTTAAAAGTGCCAACAGTGATGCAGAAGAGATGACTTAGCTGTGGCCCTTGCCTTGCCCTTGAGTGGCACAGCACTGCAACAGAGGAAGCTTCAGAGCTCGTCCCGCTGTGTGTGACTGTGCGGAATAGGAATTCCTCTGTTGTAACAGCCCGTTACAGGTGCCCATTGGAATACCCACTCTGCATCGACATTGAAGAGAAATTAAATATATTTGTGAAGAACATGCATTTTTCTGCAAGTGTTCCATTTAAAATTATTTTTCAGTAGCTGAAATTGTTTTCATTTCCCAGTCCTTTGCTCCTCTCTCACTATACATATGTATTTACTTCCTGTTTCTCCTTCCAAATAACAAGTATATTTTTCAATAAAAGAAAACCTGGTAATCTTTCCTTGATGAACAGTGCTGTTCTTTCTTTCTAGGACTATACCGGTCTTCCTAGGGAGTAACTGCTCACTGCCTCCTGAGATGTTGAAATAAACTAGATCTAGGTGTCAATAGTCATAGTTGTTCCACAAAAGGTTCATAAGTTTTTCAGATCATGTCATTTGGATTCATTATTTGATAGCTGAATGTTCTAATGTGTGTTTTTTT